GAACTATTGCTTTAAGTTTGAGAATGTACCATGCTGTCAAACTCCCCAGAAGTTCTGATCTTATTTCTACTTCCAATTGGTCAGAGAACATGTGGGGGGGGAGTCCTGATACAGACCCAAACTCATGACCAATGGCTCTTAGAACTCTCAGTGAAATACTAGAATCTTCAAGCAAATACTCTTAAATACAGGTTCACAAAGGAATGCTGCAATGTATGGTAGAACACTGAATGCCTGTGAGATTAAGTGCTCTTATCACAGTGTAAGAATAGTTCATAATTGTTAATCGCTTCTGGTTTTCATCTCAGAAAGTTGTGGCAGGGAGAAAAAAAAATATTTTGGGAACATCTGTAGCAAGACAATTATATTTTGTTCTTCACAATGTATAAAATTAAGCTACCCTAAATATACAGTATTTATAACTTAGTTCTTTATAAGAACATAAGAATGGCCATGTACCAACATTAAAGCACTGCCGCGCCAGTGCTTTAACGTCTCTGCCCCTTTTGCCAGGGCCAGCTCCAGGGTTTTTGCTGCCCCAAGCCGCGGGGAAGAAGAAAAAAAAAGAAAAAAGGGGAAAAAAAAAAAAGCGCTGTGATCGTGATTGGTGGCAGCTCCACCACGCCGCTTTCTTCTTCGGCGGCAATTCGGCAGCAGGTCCTTCCCTCCGAGAGGGACCCTCCGCCGAATTGCCGCTGAAGAGCCCGACGTGCCACCCCAAGCATCTGCTTGCTCAGCTGGTGCCTAGAGCTGGCCCTGCCTTTTGCACCCCCCGCCCATCGTCAGTCCTGTCGGCAGGGCTGCCGAAGGGGTGGAGGGGGGGACAAAAGGGGCAGAGACGTTAAAGCACTGTCGCGGCAGTGCTTTAATGTCGGTACATGGCCATTCTTATGTTCCTATAAAGAACTAAGTTATAAATACTATATATTTAGGGTAGCTTAATTTTATACATTGTGAAGAACAAAATATAATTGTCTTGCTACAAATGTTTCCCAAATAGTTTTTTTCTACCTGCCACAACTTTCTGAGATGAAAACCAGAAGCGATTAACAATTATGAACTATTCTTACACTGTGATAAGAGCACTTAATCTCACAGGCATTCAGTGTTCTACCATACATTGCAGCATTCTTTTGTGAACCTGTATTTAAGAGTATTTGCTTGAAGATTCTAGTATTTCACTGAGAGTTCTAAGAGCCATTGGTCATGAGTTTGGGTCTGTATCAGGACTCCCCCCGCCCCCCCGCATGTTCTCTGACCAATTGGAAGTAGAAATAAGATCAGAACTTCTGGGGAGTTTGACAGCATGGTACATTCTCAGACTTAAAGCAATAGTTCTTTCCCCATCTAGTCTTTTTCTATAATATTCTGCATTCCATCTACTATTTTAAAAATGAACATTTCTTAGCAGAATCAAAATCTATGTAAATCTGAAATTCACTAACAATTAGGAAAGCCCGATTTAAAAATGCACAAAAATCCACTTTAGCAACATAGACTGGGAAGAAAGTGAAGAACTAGCACCACTTAAATAAAATAAGTTGATTTAAATTAAAAACATCAGGTTTTTTATTAAATTCTAAAACTATTATTTGTATCCCCATGGTATCATAAGTATTTTAATGAAGAGCTTTATATTATGGTGGTAGTTTTTGTACATGTTCTATAAAAGCTACCTGTGAACTTACTGTCCTGGAATCCAGTTCACCTGCTTTTGAGCAAGGTGCTTTCAATGTTAATTTGTCTAATATTGAAATAACCTTGTCCGAAATGTAATGTGGTCCAGTAGATCTAAAATGGGACTGGAAACCAAAACTCAATACTAGGGCTGTCAAGCGATTAAAAAAATTAATCGTGATTAATCGCACAATAAAAAATTAGTCGCTATTAATCACGCTTTTAAACAATAATAGAATACCATTTATTTAAATATTTTTGGATGTTTTCTACATTTTCAAATATATTGATTTCAGTTACAACAGAATACATGTACAGTGCTCACTTTTTTATTACAATATTTGCACTGTAAAAAACAAAAAATAATATTTTTCAATTCCCCTAATACAAGTACTGTAGTGCAATCTCTTTATCATGAAAGTTGAACTTGCAAATGTAGAATTATGTACAAAAAAATAACTGCATTCAAACATAAAAAAATGTAAAACGTTAGAGGCTACAAGTCCACTCAGTCCTACTTCAGCCAGTTGCTCAGACAAACAAGTTTGATTGCAATTTGCAGGAGATAATGCTGCCTGCTTCTTGTTTACAATGTCACCTGAAAGTAAGAACAGGGTTCGCATGGCACTGTTGTAGCCGGCATTGGAAGATATTTCCATGCCAGATGCGCTAAAGATTCATATGTTCCTTCATGCTTCAACCACCATTCCAGAAGATATTGTCCATGCTGATGATGGGTTCTGCTCGATAATGATCCAAAGCAGAGTGGACTGACGCATGTTCATGTTCATCATTTTAGTCATGCCATCAACAGAAGGTTGATTTTCTTTTTTGGTGGTTTGGGTTCTGTAGTTTCCACATCTGAGTGTTGCTCTTTTAAGACTTCTGAAAGCATGCTCCACACCTCATCCCTCTCAGATTTTGGACGGCACTTCAGATTCTTAAACCTTGGGTCAAGTGCTATAGCTATTTCTAGCAATCTCACATTGGTACCATTTTTGCGTTTTGTCAAATCTGCTGTGAAAGTGTTTTTAAAACGAACGTGCGGGGGTCATCATCCGAGACTGCTATAACATGAAATATATGGCAGAATGCAGGTAAAACAGAACAGGAGACATACAGTTCTCCCCCAAGGAGTTCACTCACAAATTAAATTAATGCATTAGTTTTTTAATGAGCATCATCAACATGGAAGCATGTCCTCTGCAATGGTGGCCGAAGCATGAAGGGGCATATGTATGTTTAGCATATCTGGCATGTAAATACCTTCCAACGCCAGCTACAAAAGTGCCACGCGGATGCCTGTTCTCACTTTCAGATGACATTGTAAATAAGAAGCAGTCAGCATTATCTCTTGTAAATGTAAACAAACTTGTTTGTCTTAGCGATTGGCTGAACAAAAAGTAGGACTGAGTGCACTCGTAGGCTCTAATTGTTTTGTTTTTGAGTGCAGTTATGTAACAACAACAAAAAAATCTACATTTGTAAGTTACACTTTCACAATAAAGAGATTGCACTACAGTACTTGTGTGAGGTGAATTTGAAAAATACTATTTCTTTTGTTTATCATTTTTACTGTGTAAAAATTTGTAATTAAAAATAATAATATAAAGTGAGCACTGTACATTTTGTATTCTGTGTTGTAATTAATTAATGGAGATATCCTATCTCCTAGAACTGGAAGGGACCTTGAAAGGTCATCGAGTCCAGCCCCCTGCCTTCACTAGCAGGACCAAGTACTGATTTTGCCCCAGATACC